GAGACCTAACTGGCAATCGAGAACTGCGTTTAAATTCATCAAAGTCAAGTCACCGAAGTGAAAAGCTCATCATAATAATTAACACTAAAATATTTTAGCTACCTAAATAACCTAAATTAAGTTTTAAAGCAAACATCTACCTCATGGAATGATAAATTATGTAAACTATTAAAAATAAGTAGAGAAAAGTTATTTCTCAATGAAAACATGCTGCCAAAATATACGCTATATATATATATATATATATATATATATATATATATATATATATATATATATATATGCACACCAATATATATGTGTGTGTATATATATATATATATATATATATATATATATATATATATATATATATATATATATATATATATATATATATATATATATATATATAATATATATATATATATATATATATATATATATATATATATATATATATATATATATATATATATATATATATATATATATATATATATATATAGAGAGAGAGAGAGAGAGAGAGAATTTACTGTTTAGCGAAATAAAATGTTAAACTGGCTGGTTAAAAATTGGAACGCCGCAGAAGAAAGAATACAAGAATCATTGAACTCCAAACTCTGCCAATACTGAATAAAATTAATTAATATTTCTGTTACATATCTTCTCTTATTTTGAAAGTGTATAAATAGGTTTTTATAGTAATATTACCACCAAAACATTTTTGGAAATAACATACCAGCAATACATTTTTTGGAAAAAAAGCTTAATGCGTATTCTATTCATAGAAACATATGTTAAAAAAATGCATGCCTGCATTAAATAATCCATTGAGTTGGACTTGCTGTAAAACAAAATAAACCAAATAATTTTTTTTTTCAAATGACAAAATCCACATTACTTGAAGATTTTCAACAGCAATGACAATTAAAATGGGTAGAATATCTAACTCAAAGATAAAATAGTAACTTAATAAAGATAGTGATTTTCTACAGTATCTCTCACAAAATATAACCCCATAAACACGAGAAATAAGTATTATAGTAGAATTGTGGAAAGTATTTCCTTGAAAAAAAAAAACTGCTTTAATATTTTATAAATTTCAACAGACGGCAGCGCTAACTGATCTGTCAATGAAGGCTGAATATTTCTTCATAATCGAAATGGCTAATTTCACCTTTACAATTAAAAGGTAAAAATTCGTTCGGTTTATTCTTGAGTCAAAAGGTAAATTTTGTTTTGGTTCATGAGTGTATATAAAAGTAAAACTTGATTTTGTTTATACTAGACTTAAAATGTAAAGATTGGTCCGGTATATAATTGGTCCGTCAGGAAGTGGCTCCGTGAGTGGATTTGTGTGTTATGTGTGAGTGGGGAGATATTTCTCTTCGGACACTGAAGTCTTCACTAACTAGGTCCCGCCGTTATGGCAATTTAAATTTAAATTTTTCTATGTCGTCATTATCTCATAATGCACAATGCAAAACTTGAAATAATTTGAATGTATAAGTTCGTAATTTAATAATTTCAAGGTTAAAACTAGATGAAGAAGGTCTTATTCACCTGTAGGGTGTTTATTTTAATAATATTGTCTTAACTCTTTGAACCCTGACCCTCTGATGGGTACGTGATATGCATTTTCAGAGAGCGTCCGATATATAAGCCGCCCAGTTTCATAGGGTTAATGAAGTTTTATTTGTTTGGCGCGTAATATGGAAAAGTATTGATCTATAGCAATGGGAGACAAACACTATACATGTAAGAATAAATCTAATTTGAATTTAAATGGATTTTATATTAATTTTTTGTGTTTTTACTTACCAAGTATCGTTTGTGGTGTAAGTCAAAAATTCATTTTCCGACTGTTTTCCATTCTTAAATGAAACGCATCTGGCCACTAATCGAATTTCAGGTGTCCGGACTTCGTATGGGAATGCTATTGGCCCGTGACTGTTGTCTTTGGGCACTTTGTTGAGTCCATGTATGTTGTCCTTTATTCTGAATACGTTCATGTTGTCTTCTACTTCCACGATATATCTTCCTGTGAGATCTTTCCATTTGTGGACGTTCGCGAAATACTCCGGGAAACGACAAGGAGGTTGTTCCCGATATGCCTTGTTGGCTTCTGTATCTGCAAACAAAAGGATAGATTAATACTGGTTTAAAAAAAAGTAATATTATAATAATATATACGAGGTCTGATCAAAATGTTTCGAGGCAGTTACTATGGCAACGGGGCTAAAGTAAGCTGATTTGAAGCCACTTTCACATACATTAATCTTGAACTAAGTCGTGCATGCATAATAATATTCTCACTCACTTCTGCTGTTTAAAGCAGTCCTTGGAAGGAAAATGTGTAGAGTGTGGTCGTCAGAGGTTCCATCAGCCATCATGGATTGTGCAACATTTTTTTTTTGTTTTGCCTAACACAACATTCTCCATAGCTGACAACTTCCATAGTCCCCAGATGTCTTCACTTGCAAGTTTTTCCCCTTTTTGAAAATCAAATCATACTTGCAAGAGAGAAGATTTCAAGACGTCAGAGGAGATCAAACAGAATGCGATGAAACAGCCATTCGCTATCAAGAAAAAGCAGTTCCAGGAATGCTTCCATTTAAGGAAACGGCACTAGATAAAGTGTGTGGCTTCAGAACAGAACTACTTTGAAAGATATTAAAATCCAAATTGATTTGTGTTGTAAATTAATTTTACAGCAACAGCTCCGATAGTTTTTGATCAGTTCTTGTATATTATACATAGAAGTCAATGTGTCTCGTATTATAGCCTAAACAATAAGACTGCAAACTAAAAAGGAAAAAGAGCATTAATTTTACACAAAAGTCACTATTTTCAACACATTCCTGTTTGTCAATATATAATTTAAACTACGAAGTTAAAAGTCAAAAATGTTTCTTCTTTTTTTAAAGGAACTCTCTTGTGAACAAGAATAAAATGCATAAAGACTTCTATAAAGCTGGAAAAGTTCTATTAAATGGAAAATGTTTTAAATGCAAGTGTATGGAATATGTGGTTGATGTATTGACCTATAAAGTGACCTCTTACATACTCGGAGAAAAATGGTAATCGATCTTGAAAAAATCTTTTAAAATAGTTACATATTTTTTTAAGGTTTTACAATAAGATAGAGATTACTTTACACACACACACACACACACATATATATATATATATATATATATATATATATATATATATATATATATATGTGTGTGTGTGTGTGTGTGTGTGTATATAAGAAAAATCTGTTTTATCTTTCTGAATTCACTTCATCTTACACAACCTTCCTTCTTCATTCCATATCACTTCATTTTCTTTTACTGACTTTCTTCTTGCATTTTTTTATTCCTTTTCTCTTACAATTCCTCTTTTATTTTCCTACCCTATCGCTTCCACTCCCATTTTCTATCTTTTCCCACCTTTTATTTCTCTTCATTCTTTTCTCACTCTTTCTCTTAAACTCTTTCTTCACCTTCTCACTGTTCTTTCCTTTCCTTTTTCTATTTCAATTTGTCATATTCTCGCCATTCTTCACGGTCTTTCTCTTCTTCCCACCATTTTTTCTCTCCGTACGTTTCTCACTCTTTCTCTTCCTCTCTTTCTTCACCATACTTTCCTTTCCTTCTACTACTACCATTTTTTATATTCTTGTCTTTCTTCACTCTCTTTCTTTTCCTCCCACCCTGTTATTTCTCTTCATTCTATTCTCACTCTTTCTCTTCCTCTCTTTCTTCCCCTTCCTACCAATTTCTGGATTCTTTCATTTTCATTTCACTTTCCTTCCCATTTTAAACTTCTACAATTTCTTTTTTTCTTCTTCATCTCTTAACTTTCATCAAGTTATTTCCAACCCAACCAGATCTTCCATTTCTCGGCTCTCTTACTTTTTGCCTTTTATTCCAAAATTTCTTTACCCCGTTTATTCATCTCCTCGCATTTGAACCTTTCTTTTTTTTATCCCTTTATCTTTCTTATATGTCTTCTCTGCCCCTATCTATCCCACGATTTTCCTCCTCGCTTTCACTCCCTCTCTCATTTTCTCTTCTTTTTCGTCTTTTATTTTCTCCATCTCTTTTCTTCATTCTCCTTTTTCATTCATTCTCCCTTTTTCTTTCTACCTTTTCTTTTCTCTTAACCTTTTTCTTCCCTCACACTCTTCACTTTCCTCAAATCGTTCACTTTTTCCCGCTTTTCCCCTTCTTCCCAACCTTTCATTTTCTCCCACACCTTTTCTTTACCCCTCCCTTTGCTTTTCGCCTAGTCTATTCTTTTCTCATTCACTCTGTTTACCTTACCTCATTCATTTCCTTTTTCCTTTTCTCTTCCTCACAGTCTTTCATTTTCTCCCACACTTTTCTTTGCCCCTCCCTTTGCTTTTCTCCTAGTTTTTTTCTTTTCTCACTCTCTCTGTTTACCTTACCCCATTCATTTCCTTTTTCCTTTTCTTTTCCTCACAGTCTTTCATTGTCTCCCACACTTTTTCTTCGTCCTCATTTTTTCTTCCTCTCAAAATTTTCTTTTACTCTCCTCCTCTTTTCCTCTTCCCCCGATCATCCCCTCTCTCCCACAGTTTTCTTTCCTCTTCTCTTTTCCTTCCTCCCACACATTCCTTTCTTCCTTCCCTCACTCCTTCATCTTGTATTTACTCCAATTTTGAATTTTTCGCCAAGATCTTTTTAAACAGCATCTCCATAACGCCCCTGTAGATTTGTGTCACAGGAGAAAGGTTTTTGATTCCGTTTCATAATTTTCCTTTTCTTTTATTTAAAATGTTTAATCTATCTTACCTATTATGACTATATTTTTTCAAGCACTCAATATATTTGGAGTTGATTCTTTTGTTTGTATGCCACTCTGTTCTTTGATAGTATATTTGTTTGCGTCTAAAAATCATTTTTTTATTTCTTTAAATTGTCCTTACATTTTTATTATTTTGGTGGGAAAATACATGCAGTTCCGTTGTGTTTTGAATGCTATTTTTTCTCGTTCATACGCATTATTCATCCGCCATCTTCCTTCTTCAAACCTCTATTATACAACCAACATTTCTGCACATAATCTGAGTGCATATTAAAAGCTTTCGTTCTTTGTTGAAATTCAGCGAAAAAAAAAAGAAAAGAAAAAACTAACGGAGGGGATAACTTCAAAATTTACCAGACTGGTGGACGGGGAGACGGGAAGGTGACAATGGCCGACAGAAGAAACGAGTAACAAAGAATCACTTATATGTTTCGTAAAATTACTTCTTTAAACATAAACATGAAAAAATAATTCAAATAAACAAGCAGAAACTATAAAGCCTATACATATATACATATATATATATAATATATTATATATATATATATATATATATATATATATATATATATATATATATATATATATATATATATATAGTATGAGTGTGTATGTGTGTGTGTATGTGAAGAAAGACAAGGGGATAAAAAACATAGATAGATAGATAGATAGATAGATAGATAGATAGATAGATAGATAGATATGGAAAAATAACATAAATCGATGAGTAGATATTGAAAAAACTGTCATAGATAGATAAATAAATAGATATATAAATAGATATAGGAAAAAAGCAGGCGTACACAGATAGATAGATAGATAGATAGATAGATAGATAGATAGATAGATAGATATTGAGAAACAACTGGCAAAGATAGATATTACAAATCTCGCATAAACAGATAGATAGATAGATAGATAGATAGATAGATAGATAGATAGATAGATAGATAGATATTGAGATACAACTGGCAAAGATAGATATTACAAATCTCGCATAAACAGTTAGATAGATAGATAGATATTGAAAAACAACTGGCAAAGATAGATATTACAAATCTCGCATAAACAGATAGATAGATAGTTATTGAGAAACAACTGGCAAAGATAGATATTACAAATCTCGCATAAACAGTTAGATAGATAGATAGATAGATAGATAGATAGATAGATAGATATTGAAAAACAACTGGCAAAGATAGATATTACAAATCTCGCATAAACAGATAGATAGATAGATAGATAGATAGATAGATAGATATTGAGAAACAACTGGCAAAGATAGATATTACAAATCTCGCATAAACAGTTAGATAGATAGATAGATAGATAGATAGATAGATATTGAAAAACAACTGGCAAAGATAGATATTACAAATCTCGCATAAACAGATAGATAGATAGATAGATAGATAGATAGATAGATAGATAGATACTGAGAAACAACTGGCAAAGATAGATATTACAAATCTCGCATAAACAGATAGATAGATAGATAGATAGATAGATAGATAGATAGATAGATAGATAGATAGATAGATGCATATTGAATAAGACAGGAATAGACATATAGATAGACAAGAAAGAATAACTGTTTTAAGTAGCAACTCAAAGCAAGAGAATTGTTGTTGTAATTTTATTTAAATATCCTTCAGAGTTTTAGCTCTCCGCAACTTCCTTTTCTTCAGTGCCTGGAAATCGCCTTGTCCTCTCGTTTTAGATAATGGATTACTTTGCATTCTCCACTTATTTAATTCAGATATGTCGTTTTTCTTAGAACGGCTGCGAACCAAAAGAAAAAAGCCCTCGTCTACCCTTCTATTTAACAGCTGGGATGAAACTTGTCTGTTTGCAAGTGACGTAGGTGTTCATTTCTATCTCTTGTCCATTCAAAGAATATCTGTGAAATGCCAAGATTTTAGCAACTATCTTGCCGTACGATTTTTTTATTTTTATTTACAATAGAAAATACTTGTAAATTGATAGCAGGATAGGGGATGGGATGGAGATAGCAGGGAAATAAATATTGCACAGAGCTAAAAAAGAAATGCTCGTTCATGCCCTGAAGGCCCAATGCATAAAGAAGCCTTGAACATTATATTGAGTAAAAAAATCCCTTGTTTCATGTTTGGATTTGCTTTCCAGTTCTCCCAAAAGGCTTTTCTTTCTAGTTAACTTCCAGTATCACTTTGCGAATTAGTGTCTTTATCTCCTTGCTTGGCGTGATTGTTTCTTTTTAAATCAAAAGAGACTAAATTTCTTTTCGTTAGCTATCTCGTTTTCTTAATGTAACTTATACAATGCGAATTACGGAGTGTTCACAGTAAAAGAAAACTCTGTCAATTCCATGACTTCGTACGGCAAGGAATCGTCCGGAGATCACGTTGTGTGTCGTCTGTTGGTTCAGTTCTGTCGTTAAAAAGAGACTTTTATTGGAACACATAGAACTGATTCATGAAAAGTAATATTGTTGCTTAAACACGTAATTAATTAAGGCATATAAAATATCTGCTGATATATGAAACTATGTAAATATACCCAACATTAACAAAGAATTGCATTCATTAACTACAGAAAAAAGAATTTGTCTTAAAATTGGGTACGGTACAAATAATTTAAGCAACTGTAAATTCGCAGTATCCAAAATTATGAGACCACTCATGCTCACAGACATACACATTCACGCATATATATATACACAATCACGTGCTTATCCAGACGTCTTATAATTACACCTATCTGATCACAGCTCCATCAGAACTCATTTAAACACACACTCAGATTTACCTGAGACCATTAGGAACATACTAGTAGAAAACACAAATATATTAACTGCATCCACTTGCAAAAAAAGACTAAAAATAATGGAAGCTTTAATAATAAAAAAGAAAAAGGCAACTCTTAACAATATTAACTACGACAAAGCCACAATGTGCTAACCGTATTCGGAAACTAAAAACATCCCTACCACACACTGAACATACACAGAACACACACACTCTACTAAGCTGATAATCGAATCATCCTTGATAATGGCTAAATGTATAGCCGAAAGCGCTCGGAAATACAGAACATTCGGCGGACAGTTCTTACACAGCCTTTGTCCAGAAAAGAAAGCTCTTGTCAGAACACAAGAAAAATTAAATAAAAAGCTCAACCGTAGTACCTTGCCTGTTGTTTTAAATGAAACATGCATAAAGGCAGGATGGAAGGATTGCTGCCTAAATATACAACTATATACAACTATATATATATATATATATATATATATATAAGGGAATATTGAAGTTTAAACTGAGAGGCCAGAGACGTGTGTGTATGTGTGTGTGTGTGTGTGGCTGTGCTTATTTGGCAAATCCTCCAAGAAACGTGATATAATTTTATTTTATGGCGCATAACGAAATTTTTCAACTTTTTACTATTAACAAAAAAGGAATAGACATTTTTTGAATAAAATTACTGCATATATATATATATATATATATATATATATATATATATAAATAAATATAGAAATAAGGTTTGGTATATTTATGGAATAAAGTGTTCAATATCAGTAATAAAGTGTATTTAAATTTGAATATAAAAGTGAACATTGAATTCCACACTGATAGGCGACAAGCTGTTTCATGCTAGACGCAATCGTCAGGCCATATCGTATATATATATATATATATATATATATATATATATATATATATATATATATATATATATATATATATATATATATATATACACCACACACACACAAACCTACATATAGATGGGTGTGTATGTGCGTGTACGCGAGCAATTTTAAAAATCTATTTAAGCTCTTTCCTTCCAGGTGGTTTGAAATAATTTGTTTATATTCACCCATACATACAGATAAACATACGTGCACGCACACATACACATATACACACATATACGTGTGTGTGTGCGTGTGTGTATCTTCCAATGTTTGTAAATATACATGTATATACTGAGTAGTGTGTGTTCACAAACACGTGTGTTTGTGTGTGTGTCCACATTATTTACACCAATCGGTAGACTATTTGTAAAAATTTTTCTGAAATTATTTGGCTTCTGAAAAATCGAAAGGAACGAGAATTTTTCAGCAGTCATTTGAACATATATATTGCTATTTCATTGCACCACATAAAAAACATATTAAAACAATTTCATTTGGATCATGCAGAGAAACGCAAATAAACAATAAAACATATCTTCTATCACCACTTTTTTATATATATATATATATATATATATATATATATATATATCGTTACTCACAATATATATAAAAAACACACGCGCACCCACGCACTCATATATATGTATGCAGGCATAGATATATATTGGGGAATGTGTATATATATATATATATATATATATATATATATATATATATATATATATATATATGTGTGTGTGTGTGTGTGTGTGTGTGTGTGTGTGTGTGTGTGTGTGTGTGTGTGTGTGTGTGTGTGTGTGTGTGTGTGTGTGTGTGTGTGTGTGTGTGAACCAGTAGGTATAGAAAATGTTTTGAAAACACACAAATGCATAATGTATTGTAATTCAGTGATATTGATTGTTGCCGGGTTGGCAGATTTCCGATAAGATACTGTATCGTTGATTGCTTGAGAAGAAAAAAATTCAATTGCTAAGGAAATGGAAAAGATCTTACTAAGTGGTGACCCGTTGTTTAGTTTACAGCGACGCTATCTTGAATCTTCTTCTCCTCGATCAGTAGACACCGCCCTCTCTATCGCAAACAAAAACAGAGACTGTCGGTTCGCTTACCATCCAAACACAGTCACGACAGATTTGTGAGTTCTCATTGCTCTGATCACTCGAACGCATTATCTTCATTTACCATACATGCTTGTCCTCGTTGAACTCTAAAAATCAGAAACCCAATCGAACCCAAGGACTTTTTTTCACCTAGAAATCTATACGCCGACCAGCTCACTTATCTATTTAAAAATCTCCGCAATCAATATTAAACTTCGTTTATATTAGTTGACATTTATCTCTTTCTCTCTTTCACTATTTATTCCATTGGTTCAATTCATTCTTGAAGAATATAACTTATATTTATCTAATACAAACAGTACGTATACAAAAACGGCCCCACATTACAACTATACTACCCACTGCACTGAGTAACCACAAAGGTGAAGGCATTAGAACTCCTCCTACTAAAGACGCACACATGCAAAATTACGAATACACGTTACAATCCGATGCCCGCTTAGGCATACAAGAAGCTTTACAAACTTAAATAGATATGGAATCATCTACGGTTTACATGCACGTGATACATGACTGATCTATGAGAATCCATTCAATTAAAATAGAAAATACCAAAATTCTGTCAGTTTGTTGTTTTCTAAATCTCTAACGAAGCTTTAATAAAAGTGAAACATGTTTGATTGATAAACATTTCCTACTTTTTCTTCATCTTATCTACCTCTGTATGTAGCTCACATTCTATTACTTTTTTTATACTATCGTTTACCCAATACAAAGAACAAGAGCCTCTCAAGTTAGAGGTTTACTAAATGATGTACCTTCTCCTTATCCATTAATGATTTAAATAGCAAATCAAATTAGTTTCTGTTCTCATGGGTGACATTCAGTCTAGAATAGGGATACCTCTCTCTCTCGAGAGAGAGAGAGGGACCAATTACGACTAAGAGGTGAGTTCGATCCTCGCTATGGGCCCCATATATTCGGCCTTCTGCCGCATATAAACTACGTTTGGAAAATCATTTTGGCACTTCGACGTTGTGTAATGATTAGCAAGTTGTCTTGTTAGATCAGTTACGATTGTGTAGTGAGTTCGACGCTCACTGAGTGACCTATATTTTCAGCCTTGTGACCCATCTGAGCTACACTTGGAAAATCGCCATCCTAATACCACTTGCACATCCCTTCTCCATAGCTGGGATGTGCCGTGGAGAAGAGACCATTCTGCTATCTTTTCTAATAAGACTTAGCAACGTAAAGATAAAAAGTAGTTCTGTGAAAGATTTATTTTCTGAAAGAATGTCGAAATTTATTTTTCAGATATGCAACTAATTACCCATCTGCACGAATCTCATAAATTATGAAATTGTGCAATCAACGTATCATGTTCAGGTTCCGGGCTCTGTTGTTATAGTGACATTTGTACTAATGTCCTGGGGAATGGCAGGAATATATTTATTCTCTCTCATGTAAGAGTTAAATATCTGCATGAACTGGATTCTAAAATCTTTTGTTTATTTTTTATTTAGTGTAAGTTCCCCAAACAAGACGCAATGGCCAAGGTAGAGAGTTACTGAATGGGATTGTAAGGTGAGTGGAAAGGAGATAGTATGAGAATATAAAGTGTAGGATAGATATCCCTTCACCTTGGAATCATAATGACCAAAGTTGTAGCTCTCATGGAAGCATAAAGTAAGACTTTTCGACATGGCATGACGTCTTCTATATGCGAAGGTTTAAACTGGTAGCCTAATGATTGTATCACATCCGAACATCTGCCATTGTAAGACGCGATATTAGTATACGACTGGCGACATTTCGTCTGCGGAATAACGGTTAAAGGTTGGAGAATAA